TTATTAAAATCTCTAGCAAATGTGAGTTAAACCAAAATGTAATAGATTTATTTGAAATACTTTCGATGGCATTCTGAGGGGGGGTGGGTCGAATTAAAAGTAAAGCCTAAACATGAAATAATTCCAGCAAGAAAGTGTGTAAAAAAAAATTCCTTCTGTGTATACGAACGCACTAAAATTCAGCAAACTTGCTTAGCAAGCACGCACAAAACAAAACTACCTAGAAAAAAATCAAGCGCCTTTCCCTGCAGCATAGATCATAGACCGCAAGCAGCCAATCATCTCTTTAAGCCGTGTCATTTCGCCGTCAACTCCCGCAGTTATAAATGTCGTTTCATACACGACCTGACGGCGCTCACCCTAGGGTCATCAGTCATCGCTCCTGTTACAGCCGGCACCGCCGCCTTGTTGTGGTGTGTGATACATGACTTCTGCAACAACAAGATGGCTATTTACGTTTAATGGTTATCAAACGACAGAGAATGGAGAATATTAATTTTTTTTTTGTTGGGGAAAATTTGATAATTTTTTTTGAAATGGAAAAACAGTTAATTATGGCCTTGTGTGTTGTTCGTTGTAAAGTAATTATCGTCATTATAATTTAATGGTCGCTGCCGGAGACAAATTGGCGGATCCTCTGTTTATTTTTGCATCAAAAAATAGATTATCCAAGTATAATGGATGGAAAGAGGACAATATTTTTTGTCATTTTTATGCTATTCATCCTGAAGTTTGACGTATTAATTGTCGTATTTTGACTAAGATTTTAATAGCAGAACTCTAGATGTATAAAGTTCAAGGATTCTGACATTCAATGGATGGTTTGCAAATGCAATTTACAAGGTGCCATCATAGCGCCTGGGTTGAGTTTCTTGATGAATACATCGAATGGTGATTTCAATTTTAGTTGCATTTTTGTTTTAGAGCGGGAATGGTAAGGTTATGGAGGCGATGACATGCTTAAATGTGGGGGGGGGGGGGGAACGTGGCGAATAATAGCATCAGGAGCCTTGCAACTTCAGCACAAAGTTTGCACCATCAGTATAAATAACAAACCTTGCGTGATCATCTATAAGAGACACGGTACCATCACTAAAACCTGCAACTGCAGCATAAAGCTTGTACCATCAGTATAAATAACAAACCTTGCATGATCATCAAGAAAAGACACGGTGCCATCACTAAAACTTGCACTTTCAGCACTACGCTTGCACCATTAAAAAATCTGGGTATCATCGCCAATAACATGCAACTATAAAAAACACGACAACATCAGTAAAACGTGTACGTAAAATACAAATCTTGTGCCGTTTACAAAAACGAGGCATCTTCGTCATTAATTTAACACCATCAATATCGACGCACCATCATTTACAAAAACACTTCACCATCTACCATCATTAAAAACAAAACACTTCACATCCACTATCAGTAAAAACATTGCACCCCCCCCCCACCATCATTTAAAAAACATTTTACCATCCACTGTTATTAAAAACAACATTTTACCATCCACCTTCATTAAAAGAAACATAGCATCATCCACCATCAGTAAAACATTGTTGTATATATTTTGTATTTAAATGCCCTGTAATGTATTGTCATTAGTGGATTGATAAGGTAGTGCTTTGCTTAAATATCGTAGGTCACCAGCTATGTTTTAGACGTGTGAATGTGTTTAGTTCATTAAAATCTTGAGAATAAATTAATTAATGTATTTTTATGCTCCACTCTGTTTTATCATATTTTTCAGTAGGTACCTATGACACACGAAGTAAATGAAGTAGAGTTCATCTGTTTCAATGAAGTCGGATAGTGTGGTCAGTGCTATGCCCAGGCGCATTAGCTTTCCTAACGTGAGCTAGGTACCCATTCAGCCGGGATCCGAACTCGAGACTTTTGGGCTAGCAGTCGTAGGCCCAAAATGTTTAAACTGAAAAAAGTATCCCCCCCCCCCCCAAACACACACTTACACACACAATCACGCACACAGCATACACTCCCTCACAGACAACTGCAATAACCCCGCATACCCACCACACAATTCTTCCTTTGACACTCTCACAACACACGTCTTCCTGCCCCACTCCCACCCCCTTTCACAACACACACTAAAGCTTTCTTACACAAAGTAAAACAAAAACATCTTCAATTCAAATTGCTTTACTAAAGCAGTACCCAATTATTTCACTTATCTAAAATTAAGAGGCCTAAATACTGTCCTTATTGTGTTTTAAGCCATGGCACCACACTATATTTAGCGGCCGTCCACGGGCGGTCGTTAAGAAACCAGAAGTGTTATTCCATCTACAATTTTCTTCAGCCGAGCAGAAATGCGACCCGGAACCGGAAATGATATATGCGAATTTTCGCCAATTTCTACGTCACTTCCGGCACGTCCTCCATCTCACCATCTTTATTACTACCCTATATGGAAAACCGATGCCTCATGGGCGAGCACTCTTGTCTAAAACCCGATACCACAAAGTTATCGGACTTGGCCGAACACGGCCAATCCACCACACCCCTTGGTGGGGAATTGGACTGCTCTGTTATTTGGTTTCAGGGGGGGGGGCTGGTCAGTTTGCCACCCCACCACTCACCACCCCCACCCCTCCCTCCCCTCCACCGTGCGGTAGAACAAGAAAGGGAGATTATTAATAACGCTTGCCGGCTTGTCCGTGTGTCCGGCAGAAGATGCCGGTTCTGTCCGTGCGACCGGCAGAAGATGCTTATTCCCTCCCTCCCCGGGAGAAAATGGCATCAATATTTTACCGCCTGGGATGACCCGTGAGTTTTTTTCTTCCTCTGGACTTTGTACCCTGGTAAGGGGAGAGGCAATATCTTTCGCCTTGTAGTCAAGAAACGGACACTAGCATACGAAGACGTAATAAAGAGCTTTGTGTAAACCTTGATCAAGATGAAGAAGTGAAGAGATTGGTGAATGTGGACATACGCGGGGGGGGGGGGTAAATAAACCAGGATTTTCTCATAAAGACAAAAGTATAGAATAAAAAAAAGGGCCGGGAAAAAAATCGAAGACCAGAAAGGGGATATAATTCGCAAGTTGCCACAGAAAGGGGTTATGTTTCTTTGAATTTTTTTTAGTTATCTCCCCTGCACGAAAAAAAAAAGTAAGGACAAAGTGTGTCGAATAATTTAGGGTGTGTTTGATTGTTTCCGCACCAAAAATAATGCTTCACCGGGAAAGCCCGTTGATGAATGCGCTGTTGGTTTGTACGCATTGTTTCTTAGTAAATCTCTTTTTGGCCATAAGTAGCGAAGAAAGCCATTCCAGCTCGCGAGTGATAAACTATGGAAAACGGGAGATGAAGATTTTTATTTGATTCATTCTTCCGAGGGTCTGTCACGCGTTTTCGATATAAATCTAGACTGAATTCTGGGCTGGTGTTTTTTTTATCAGACAGGATGGGTTATTTGTGGGTCATCCATTGGCCGGTGATTGGGTGGTTTTAAATAAACAAGTTTGCATTTTAAAAGCGTGCTTGAATTGTTTTGTACTGCGGTAAGAGTGAAGGCTCCAATTGATTTACAATACACGCATTCACACTTGTATACAGACACACAAACACGGACATTGGTGTATATCTTTAAACGCAGCCTTGTGAAGACTGCTACGTGCAGTTATGTTGTTGATGGAGTGAGGATTTTTACACTAATAGAATTTTACAACACGGAGATGATCAAGGATTTTATTTGTGGTGTTGATGATGGTGGTTTTAATGTTACGTAGACTTGTTGATTTACAAGATTTTTTCTTTATTGGTTTGCAGCAGATGCCTGATGACCACGGAAGTTTTGTTGTTGATTCTCTCAGATCTACTTAAAGGTATGAAATCTCTCCTGGTCTGGATTGGGCTAGAACCCACGCAAGATATTTCTAACTGAAATACATCCCGTTCTTGTTGACGTCATTATTTTTACATTCATAAAAATATTTTTTTAAATAACACATATTAGTTTAATTTTAATTTAATTTTTTTTAACCATTAATTCTAAATCCTAGTCTCTCTGTCATTTCGCTCAAGAATTTTTTTTCGTCTGAAAACAAACGAGAGTGTAACGAGACAAACGATGATCTCGCGAGGACGAAAGAACACCAGTCCGAGAGAACCAACTAATATAAAGATATGGTTACTGTCAGAAGAGAAAGAACTAATTTGATATAATTCTCCACTGCCAGTAATGATGCCTTCCCGTGCCACCTTGAGACCGACGAAGAACCCAAACGTTGCCAGAATGAAAGTCGATACAAAAAACGTCTCCATCTTTTTTTTTTAAACATCAGCATCAAGAAATGGACGGTGTGGGCTGAAATCTGCTTTGATATAAAGAACATGATGAAGACTGATTAACAATCCGGTGCGGGGGAAAACGGATCTCACGTTCCACGCTAGGGGCATCAATTGTCTGACGCTATGGCGATGCCAGATGACGGCTGGCGTGCACTTTAGCCATAAATCTGCTCAAAACTCACATCATTAGCTGGGAGATTTTCTTTTTTCTTGACCGGTTAAATGCCGGGATATCATAGGCCGGTGACAGAGTCGGTTGGGTTAAGATGTAGGTGGGTGTTAATTGTGGGATTGGTGGGTACCGTGGACACGATTTGATACGGTATTTGGAAAAATTGACCATTAACTTGAGTCCCGACTGTCTAATAGCCTACGTCTTGTTGTAGAAATAAAAATATAAATGGTTCCATGACAAAGGGTCTCAGACGAAATATCTCACGGACTAATGATCTCAAGACAAAATATCTGTGGGCAAATTATTTCAAGAAAACAAGATCTCATAGACATAGGATCTCAGGACAAGTTATATTAGGACAATGATTATATCGAACACTGGTCTCAGACAAAATATATCAAACAAAATATCTCGCAGCAGTATATCTTACAGTATTCAGGATGGCTTTAGTCGGTTTGAAAAATTTTAATTGATTGTTATGTTTTTTCACCTTTTTTTATACATTATAGTTGTCTGAGATACTTATCAGGCCAGTTAGGATGGTGGGGGAGAGGGGTTAGAAGTGGGACAAGGGAGAAGTGGGACAAGGGAGACGTGGGACAAGGGAGAAGTGGGACAAGGGAGAAGTGGGACAAGGGAGAAGTGGGACAAGGGAGAAGTGGGACAAGGGAGAAGTGGAACAAGGGAGAAGTGGGACAAGGGAGAAGTGGGGCAAGGGAGAAGTGGGATAAGGGAAAAGTGGGACAAGAGTGAAGTGGGACAAGGGAGAAGTGGGACAAGGGAGAAGTGGGACAAGGGAGAAGTGGGACAAGGGAGAAGTGGGACAAGGGAGATGGGAGAAATGGGACTAGGGAGAAGTGGGGCAAGGGAGAAGTGGGACAAGGGAGAAGTGGGACAAGGGAGAAGTGGGACAAGGGAAAAGTGGGGCAAGGGAGAAGTGCGACAAGGGAGAAGTGGGACAAGGGAGAAGTGGGACAAGGGAGAAGTGGGATAAGGGAGCAGTGGGGCAAGGGAGAAGTGGGACAAGGGAGAAGTGGGACAAGGGAGAAGTGGGACAAGCGAGAAGTGGGACAAGGGAGAAGTGGGACAAGGGAGAAGTGAGACAAGGGAGAAGTGAGCCATGGGAGAAGTGGGACAAGGGAGAAGTGGGACAAGGGAGAAGTGGGACAAGGGAGAAGTGGGACAAGGGAGAAGTGGGACAAGGGAGAAGTGGGACAAGGGAGAAGTGAGACATGGGAGAAGTGGGACAAGGGAGAAGTGGGACAAGGGAGAAGTGAGACATGGGAGAAGTGGGGCCAGGGAGAAGTGGGGCCAGGGAGAAGTGGGACAAGGGAGAAGTGGGACAAGGGAGAAGTGGAACAAGGGAGAAGTGGGACAAGGGAGAAGTGGGGCAAGGGAGAAGTGGGATAAGGGAAAAGTGGGACAAGAGTGAAGTGGGACAAGGGAGAAGTGGGACAAGGGAGAAGTGGGACAAGGGAGAAGTGGGACAAGGGAGAAGTGGGACAAGGGAGATGGGAGAAATGGGACTAGGGAGAAGTGGGGCAAGGGAGAAGTGGGACAAGGGAGAAGTGGGACAAGGGAGAAGTGGGACAAGGGAAAAGTGGGGCAAGGGAGAAGTGGGACAAGGGAGAAGTGGGACAAGGGAGAAGTGGGACAAGGGAGAAGTGAGACATGGGAGAAGTGGGGCCAGGGAGAAGTGGGGCCAGGGAGAAGTGGGACAAGGGAGAAGTGGGACAAGGGAGAAGTGGAACAAGGGAGAAGTGGGACAAGGGAGAAGTGGGGCAAGGGAGAAGTGGGATAAGGGAAAAGTGGGACAAGAGTGAAGTGGGACAAGGGAGAAGTGGGACAAGGGAGAAGTGGGACAAGGGAGAAGTGGGACAAGGGAGAAGTGGGACAAGGGAGATGGGAGAAATGGGACTAGGGAGAAGTGGGGCAAGGGAGAAGTGGGACAAGGGAGAAGTGGGACAAGGGAGAAGTGGGACAAGGGAAAAGTGGGGCAAGGGAGAAGTGGGACAAGGGAGAAGTGGGACAAGGGAGAAGTGGGACAAGGGAGAAGTGGGACAAGGGAGACGTGGGGCAAGGGAGACGTGGGAAAAGGGAGAAGTGGGACAAGGGAGAAGTGGGACAAGGGAGAAGTGGGACAAGGGAGCAGTGGGGCAAGGGAGAAGTGGGACAAGGGAGAAGTGGGACAAGGGAGAAGTGGGACAAGCGAGAAGTGGGACAAGGGAGAAGTGGGACAAGGGAGAAGTGAGACAAGGGAGAAGTGGGACAAGGGAGAAGTGGGACAAGGGAGAAGTGGGACAAGGGAGAAGTGGGACAAGGGAGATGTTGGATAAGGGAGAAGTGAGACAACGCATTACTTCGCTTATTAAAAATTATACCACAGACTAGCTTTGTAGAGAAATGGGACAATATTGCCTACTTTTTACCGCAGCCGTTCAGTATCTCACATTAAGCTGTCATTTTAATGGAACAGTTTCAATCTCTACAGTCAAGTGCTTAGCCTATACTTTACTCATTGAAACGCCTATCAATTTATTGTTTTCATTAATTGACATGAGTGTCCCACTTCTCATCACCTATATCCTATTCCTCGGTGTCTAAATTCTCACAATTTCGCTAGAGATTTCAATTGTAATACTTCATTCTGGCACGTACCACACCTAATGGTTTACACAGTTTAAAAAACGTCTAATTGCAAACATATTTTAACCTGAAATTTTAAACGTTTAATGAAATGGTAATTCAATGTTCTCCGGAGATAAGAAAAGAAAATAGAAGGGCATTTTTTTTTAAATTAACTGTTGTGAACATGATTCCCATTGATAACAACAACAAAAATAGCGGCTATTTGATTCTTGACCTCGCTTCAAGATTTTAAATACCAAGAGTACACAAAATGCAACCATTACAAACACTTTACTAACAGTAGAATCAAATCTAGTACCGGTAAAAACATAGGTTTTTTAATAATATTATGTTACTATTGTAACAACGTTAAATTAAGGCAATTTATTACTAATTCGAAAAATAATCTTGTACCGTGAGAGAGCGTTAACGACAAGGTAATATATGTTTTTCAATGCGATATAATTATATATAAATTTAAAATTTAATATAGCTAATGGTTTTATATTTAAATTTGAGTTAAATGGAAAATTTTAAAATTGGACGTTTTGTTTTAAAAAAGAAAACTTTTCATAGAAAATGTTTATCTTTATACTTAATCAAATGATCATAATGATTAACAATTGTTGTTTTAGTGATTATAAAAAATCTCTTTTTTTAATGACTTTAGTGTCCATCGGTATTTGCTAATTCCCTTGTTTCTTTTGAATTAGTAAATGGGAAGTAACTGATATACATCTTTTTGCCTTTCTCGTATATACAAAGTATAGAGGAAGTCTTGTAATCGTGCAAATAAATAAACCGGGAGTGATCTCCCCTAAACTTTCTCGAATAGTCTTATATAACACTACCGGGGATGGCAACTCGGGATATAGACATGTATTTTAATTACTTATACTTTTTAAAATAGAATAGAATCTCTTAGAAACAAGAATTACGCACCAGGTGAACTCTAAATAACATGTGTATAATAGTGCGGAAATAGCGTAAATTACTACTTCCGATTAACGGAAATTACTCACAATTTGACAGAAGGCAGAGAATTAGATCTTATACTTACATGTGAAATTTCATTTATCTATCTGAAATAGTACCCAAGCTATAAAGTACTAATAATATTCCGCACCATTATGCACATTTTATTTTGCTTTTACTTGGTGTGCAATTTTTTTTCTACGAGATTCTATTCTATTTTAAAAGTTTAAGTATTTAAAATGGATTAAAAATCATGTCTATATCCCGAGTTGCCATCCCCTGTTGCTTTATTCTATATAATAGTTTCGCTGTCTGTCTATCTATGTATCTATCTATCTATCTATCTGTCTGACAAGAACGCTCTAGAGAAAACACAAGCAACTTAAAAACATGCACAGTAAAGCGGAAGCGAAATATGACGTCATATTCAGCATATAGTAGAAAATAATATCAAGCCGGAGAGTGCACACAGTAATATGACGTCATTGATTCTCCAGTAAACATTGAATAAAAAGGCAATTTTGTCTAATCTATGTGGTTTGCGTGAAGAGTTTCTTTCATACAATTCTTCGGGTAGCGGCGAAGCCCCACCCTCGCGAAAGAACATCAAAGCCGCCCCCCCCCCCCCAACTCAAAAGAAATTTCTTCATCGATACTCTATAATAAAAATTACCGCCTAATTAATGTGTCTAATCTTAAAAGTCGTTTGCTTGCAGTTTCTTTCGTGCAATTCTTCAGGTAGTGGCTAAGCGCGACACCAATGATTCTTTCAGACTTTTTCCTCCCCGGAGGGAGGAACTTTTTCTAATCTAAAAAGTGTTTAGCGTGCACCGTTTTTTTTTCTCTTCCCCGCCCAGGTTCTTCCTTTAGTTTGTATGATCTACAAATGCGACCAGTATTTCTTTCAGACTTTTTCCTCCCAGGTGAGGGGTGGGGGTACTTGAATTTTTTGGGGGGACAGGAGTAGAATTTTCTGGGAGGGGGCGGACACTGGAAAAAAGTATATAATTATATTTCGTTGAATGGGACGGTAGACATGTTTTGGGGTGTGTGGGGGGGGGGGGAGGGGGGAGCCCCCTCCTCCCAAGTAGAGTTGCCTGAAAGAAACTCTAAATGCGACTTTTGTCATGAATGAGATTAGGTGCATGGTTTAGGGATATACCTATGACTATATTTTGTATAAATTAAAGTACGGAGAAAATAGACAGCACTATCAACCTAGCGCCCGTTGTATCCTTCCTCAACGGGCCATTTTTCTCGTATAAGAATATTCGAGAAAGTTTAGAGGAGATAATTAATAAACCGGGAGTGATCTCTCCTAAACTTTCTCGAATATCCTGTGGTACGCGAGAATCTATTGTTCAAGGGACAGCTTGTCCAAATCTGACCCTGTTACAAATTATTGTCAGAATCGTCGCTTGATGTCAGCCTCAGAATATAGTCTAATTTAAGCCCCTGAGAGTAAAGCCTTATCCAAGCACCTCAGAATAAAACCTAACCCTATCACCTTAGAATAAAGCCGTTCCATACTCAACCATCAGAGGTACCGATTTTACAAGAATATCTAACCATTTCTTGATTCCTCTTTTCTACATCAAGAGCACCCGATTACTTCCCCTGAGCTCTCTTCCTAAACCTCCAAATGAGCGGATCCATAAACAAGGGCCATAACCCGAGAAAAATCACCATATGGAGGCTTATGATATGACTTGTTCAGGGAACATAACTCCGTGATTTCCTTTTTACACCGTCCGTCTTGTAAGCGACCCAATCAAGAATGGGATCAGAAAAACGAGTGAATTCATAAACCATGTTTGATGCTCGGCGTGATGAGAGCGCGCGCTTGCGCACGCATAGCGCAGGCATCGGGAATTCACACTAAAACCGAAAGATTATTTTCTCGTGCGTAGTAAATGTCGGATGATTACCGAACAGCGTTTAATGCGGAGTTTATGCAAATTTGATGCTGGCTTTAGTTTCGAATAAAAATACCAACAATGTTTTTCTAAAAGGTTTTTTACTGTAATTTATGCTCTTCGGCGTGGTTTAATGTCTGATGCGGTTGTTGCATTAAACGCTGGGATTGAATTTTTACATGATTTTTATAACACGAAACGGAAAGAAATGCTTCTATCAACCACGCTGAGTTCGTAATTTATTTATTTTTTATAAGGCAGGCATGGTGCTACAAATTTTAAAAGAAAATTAACAATGGCGTTGCTTTTTTGTTTTTTTTTACAGTAGGCGGGAAAATGTGTGATGCATTTCGTCTGGACACGTTGGGGTTCGATAAATTGGATTCAAGATGGCGGCAGGACTGGTGTAAATCACAGGGTGGTAAGGGGGAGGGTGGAGATGGGGGGAGGCAATAATCATCTGGTAATTATAGCGCCGAAGTGAATGAAAATGACACTTTGGCGGCGGTGTGTGTTGGAGTGTGTGGATGGGGTGAGAGTGTGGTGTGTGTATATGTGTGTATATGCTTGTGTGTATGTATGTCCTGTGTGTATGCTTGTGTGTCTACATGTGTGTAAATTGTGTGTGTGTGTGTGATTGTGTGTGCGCATATCTATATGAGTCTGTGTATCTGAGTAGTGTAAAGTACCATTTCAGAATAAGCGGCCGA